CGTCAGAGGCTCGCCGACACGCTTAACATCTCGTCGAACTTTGCAGTTCAGACATGAATGTCTCGTCTTCGCGATGCAGCGGAATACGTCTCTAATTGGAAGGCAAACATCGATGGGCTGTTCATATAAAGAAAATAGACGGAGATAGATAAACGCTAAGGATTCTGAAATGGATCTCTCGCGAAGCAAAACGTGCTCAAGAAGGACCGCCGACCAGATGAGCTGACGTGTTTGTTGCGCGTATGTACCAGCTGATTTCTCAGCTGACAACGGGTTGGATCTGGACCATGCGAAGTCGAGGCGCAGTTCAATATCAACATCGTGATGACGCTGGTGAGAGACATAAACGGATGGAAACAATGCTGAGGCCTGCACGACGAGTGAAGACAGGCCATCTAAGTATCTAAGCGTGCAAGTACCAACTTAAAAGTGTTTGCGATCTAACCTCTTTGAAAATTTCCATAGGAAATGTTTCTTTTTGTACCTCACTATATCAAGTTTTTCAACACCTAGCTCGTTGTTAACTCATTTTATTCTTTTTTGAGCTTGAGCAAGACCACTATAAAAGTCGACATTTTCCAAAATGGTTCTTAAACCATTCCGTCGTCAATAGGCCTATACTTCTGCTTTACAGGTGGTTTTTTTTTCTTCTAAAATGTTTTCCTATAACGCCAAGCCCTATCGAGAAAGGAGTAATCAAGATTTGAAAGAGCGGCAAATGTTTTACACCAGCTGATCATGTCATGGTTCCCGAAATGCCAAAATTTCAATTTTAATAAATTCCAAGTTGTCTTTTACAAGAAAGGCTGTTCTTTATGTGCGGATCTCTTTATTAAAATTCAGTACAATATTAGGATCAATGCTGTATTTCCTCCCCAAAATTGAGAACATCACTGCAATGACTGCGTGTTAATCACTGTGCTCAATTGTTGCACAATATTTTCGGCCATAATTCGGTTAGCCAGCTGAAAACGGCAAAGAGAGTGGAATAAATCGCAAGCATGATCGTACAACACTGACTTCTTCCAATTTTTGTTTAGCATTCAATCGGCCATACTTCCTAATTTGTTCTTCATTAGTCGCAATCGGCTTCTCCGATTGTATATCCTTAAAAAGAAATATTAGAAGGTATGCTTAGAATGAGTTGCGTTTACCTTGGTAAACAGCTGCGTAAGCTTGAGCATTTCTCCTACTTTATCACTGTTATCCTGTTCAACAGCGGAAAACAGTCGTATATCCTGGAAAAAGTATGACTCGTGGAAGTTGGTGACAATTTTTTTCAGCTTCCTTAGCTACAAAAAGGCAAAACATTCACAAACCATTCCATCCAGCCATGTTTTCTGATTTAAGCGAGACAGCATCTTCTGCTCTCTTGTAGTTAGTTTATAAGCGCAATTTAAGGAATAATACCTAAAAAGTCAACTTTCTGTCCCAAGTTACGGGATGAAGGTCAAAAATACCGTAATCCTAAGCCATGCACAGTAGAGACAAGGCTCGGTCGAACAAGATGACCCATATTGCTGGTAGTTTGACGAGGTTCGGCAGTTGGGGCACAAAGTCGAGGATTAACTGCTAACGGATTGATAGATCGGAATGCATCTAGCATTACCTAAATGCGAGACCTCAAGCTGAACGGCAAGCCAAAGTTTCAAGGACTAAAACACCGACTTTCCCCTTAACACTTTGTATTGGATCTACAACTAGAGCGACCGCTCTAGGATGAAGAGCTTCAAATGATTGTTGAGTGCTGACATCAACGCTGGAGAGCCAGCAACCAAATCCGGGATGAGAATGGTACCTAGGGTGATGTAGAAGTCATTAATAGACAAATGAACAACTCGAGTAGGTCGTTCACACCATCCAACAACCATTTCCGTACGACCGGTTTGCTTCAGTAGTTCCATATGTTTTGTTTGATAGACTGGGTCGACCGATTCCACTGTAACGCTCTGTAAGATGAGCAGCTAACTATAACATTAGGAGTCATTTCACCAAAGGGGCGGAGTCTGTTGGCCGCTTTGCAAACGCGCGCGCATCAAACCACGCCCACATTCCCTTACTACTGTAGAACATTGTTCTTTTGACTTACAGTTCCACTCTGTGGCATCGCAAACACATCCACCACGTTTATTGTGTAGTCATCCACAAAAGTGCCCAACATCAGACCCATCACCTTTAAAATCGTCTTATTTCGGCTCTTTTGTGGTTTTCCTTCTCATATTCAATCGCAACCTCTAAAGGGACTCCACTTCGAGCGTGTCTCAACATCTTTAGCAAAGCCAATGCCGATATGTGCACAGTTTCAGCTGAATCTGGGTGAGTAGGATCGTCAGACACCTCCCTAGCGCCCATCTGCAACATAAATCCTCGATGCTGAAGGCTTCTTAGGGGTCACCAGCTCTCACCCCCATAGCTAATCCACGTAGCAGACGATCCATGGTTGCTTCAACTAGAAAAATGACTTTACCCACCAACCTCCGCCTTATATAGCAGTGCATATCGATACCCTTCTATCATATTTACCTCCATAAACATTTCCGACAATGACTAGTTGGGGGAAGGATCGTCCGTTATGCTTTCCTGAGGATGGGAAGCACGAGCTGAGCGAACCGCCAGAAGAAGCAAAAAATTGTTTCGCAGCGATTTTCTCTGAAGCCTCTATAAACGACAAAAGACTCGATGTTCTTGAAACCAGAAACTTCCAAGTTTTGTTAACGTAAAATTTGTAAACCTTTTCGAGATAAAAGTCTTCATTTTTTCCAGTATAACACATGCTGTTTTGAAAAAAAAAACATAAACTAATTGTCTGTTTTTCTAAATAGCTAGCGAAAACTAACAATATTGCTACGCACCAAGATCGGAATCTTCTGAGAGAATTACTATAAGTAAACCTAAACTCAGCTATCAACAACATAACAACGAACACACGTAATAATCTATTACAGATCTAGAGACTACAAGTTCAACTACAAAACTATGAAATTTTAGCACAGATCTGTCTAGAAGTCACCGGAATGCTATAAATAACTAAAGCTTCTGTGCAATTATGACCATGTCTCGTACTGCATTCGC